GGATCGAACTCCAGACCATGTGTATGGTCGGCGAGCGTCCAGACCGCTCTGCCAACGAAGCACTTAGTCCAATAGTAATTATTAATCTCACCTAGTTTACTAGTTCAGTAAACTTCTAGCCGGTCCTAAGACTGGGGAGAAAAAGAATGTTGGAAATGGGGCAAGCGAATCTAACCACTACAGAAACTTAAAAGCACAGAAAACAAACTTGATTTTCACTGGAATCGGAGGGACGAAATGATGCGGGCTAGTGAAAGCCTTCGAAAAGCCAATCAGCCGATGTGTCATCAATGAAAGCAAAAATAACCATGGGGAAGTGAAATGTTCGCGAAATTTATGAAGTTAGGAAGGCTGCCCAGGTTGCCATGACATGAGAAGATATGTTACAGTAGTGCCAGGAATCTGTAAGAGCAAAAGGAATGAATATGGGCTTTCTAAATTGTTTACTGGAGAGTCAGTAATCTACTCCGATCACCCGAACAGCGAGTAAAATCGGAGAGTGGCTTGAATGATATCAACTGCAGCATTTAAGCTCTGGTACACTGGGAACCAGCCTCAGCAAGCATAATGACAGATTCAACACAAAAGGAAGGAAGGTCACAGTTATCCAATGCTACACACCTACAACCAACTCAGAAGCAGAGAAGAAGGAAGATTTCTATAGGAAACTTCATACCGCAGTAGATAACATCCCAAATGACGAAATCAAAATACTCAAGGGCAACATGAATGCTAGACTGGGAGAGGACAGTACAAGGAAAGAATTCATCGTTGGTCGAGAGGCTCTCCATGGAACAAATGAGAATGAAGAACTCTTTGGATACTTCTGAAACTTCAGTCATTTGGTGATTGGAGGCTGAGGATATACACAAGGAAACATGAATTTCACCTCACAGATATCAAAAATCACATCGATTTCATGTCAGTCTCATTGTACTGGAAACGCAGCCATCTGAACACAATGTCGAGAAGGGAGTAGGTGTGGGATCAAACTGTCATCTGGCTCAACGAACCTTCAAGATTAAGCTGAAAGCCTTCAGAACAACAAAAAAAACTCTATAGACAGAAAACAGTTCAACATCAACACTTAGAAACTGGAAGAGAAAACTATCAAGGATAATATCACTGCAAATAACATTGCAAAGTGGCATCACTGAGTAAACCTACACGCAAGAATATTGGTACTCTCTGAAGATGTTTGAAGAAGCGTGTACAGCCGTTTTACGAAGAAAGTCAAGTGAGACAAAGACTGGCTCTCCACTAACGCTTGATATCTAACAAGGGAGAGGGTGATCATGCAACACAAAATGAACCAATGAAAAGATGAACAACGGATGGAGTAGGCGAAATCAATTTACATCACACTGAATAAAAAGGCGAAGAAGAGTTCTAGGAAGGACAAAAGACAGTTATGCAACACATTGGAAACTGGGGTAGAACACTCCACTACCCAAGGAGAGCTCAGAACATTTAATCAGATAACCAGGTGGTTCGGTGACCGGGAAGGGATCATCACAGACGAAACCGATAAAAGATAGTCAAGAGAATCTGATTACCAAAAAGGAAAGACTAAGGATACAATGAGATGATCACTTCAAAGGACTCCATAACAGAGCATCACCTGAAACTCGTCCAGAAACACCACCACAGACAAACGCTACAGAACTGCCAGTGGACACCAGTCTTCCAGCAAAAGCAGGGATCTCGAATGCAATCAAGCGACTGGAAGCCATTCGGAACGGCAGTGGGGTCGAACGGAATTCCTCGTGAAACACTGAAAACAGGTCCAGAGACTATGGCGGACATGCTCGCCTGTCGCAGAGAGCTTAGAAGAGAGGAAAGTTACCTACCCAATGATTGGAGGGAAGACTACCTTGCTAAACTGCCAAAGAAGGGGCCTCTTGAAGGACTGGAGCAGAATTACGCTTCCGTCCATATCAGGAGAAATATTAAATCGCGTCGTCCTGGAGAGACTAGAGGACACATGAGATGCAGACCTCGGACTGGGTAAAGCAAATAATATGCGAGTCAAATTGCAATTCCGTGCATTACCATCGAACGGAGCGTGGAATGACAATCAAATCTCTATCTCAGTTTCATCGATTTTATAAAGGCACTCGGCTACTCTGACTGTGAATTAATTTGGAAACTTCTTCAACTCTGTGCAGTGGAGTGACCCAAATCTTCACTAAGTCATCCAACGACTTTGTGATGATACCACATTTCTAGTGTTCCACAACACAAAACTCAGAGAAGCCTTTTAATCGGAGGAGTGATGCAAGGTTGACTGATATCACCGACGAAGATATTCCTGATTCTGGTGGACTGGGTTATGAGGCACACCGTGAGTAGGGAGAAAAGTGACAGGAATATGTTGGGCCGATCAGAAAACACCAGACGATTTGGACTTCTCGGACAATTTATGCCTGATCTCACACAAGCTCGAAAACCAACAAACTGACAGAAGAGAGAGGCATCGGAGACTGGAGTTCAGGTGGACGTAAAGAGTACGGGGGTGGTGGAGATAACCAACCAACCAAAGAAACAAACAAAGCACAAAAAGCACTAATCACTACCAACGGGAGAAATCTGAAGGAAATCGCCTCTTTCACTAACCTAGACAGCATCGTATCAACTACAGAAAGACGGCGCGGATGACGATATCAAATTTGGGATGGGAAAAGCAAAGCAGGCCTTAGTCCCCATGAAGTCAGTTTGAAAATCTACTAGTGCACTCAGCGTAAACATCGAAATTCGGATTCCCAACACTGATGTTAAATTGGTGCTTCTATGTGGTTCAGATATGTGTGTAATGAGAAGCATTTCCAACAGTCTATGGCAGACTTATACCAACAGCTGCCTTCACTAAGTCCATACTGAAGATCAGATATTCTGGAAGAATAATAACATTGCTTCACTCGTTTTACATAAGGGATGGTGGTTTACATGCATCACCAGTTCTTTAAGTCTTCAAATCATACATACATTGAGTCAGCATATTTACAGTTCTTGAAGTGGTGTCTACAATCGGTCAATCAATACGAAGTCTCAGACAAGGTAAATGAATGAAGTTGGCCTGGATCGGGCTATTCCTGAAAATCCACACAGAAATGAGTTTAAAGTGTTCTGAATGAGAGGCGGTTTACAGACAACTGGAGACTCTCAAGCACCGACATTTTTACGGCTTTCCTTACATACAACCCTCTTCTCCTCAGAATGAGACGAACACATTTGATTCGAAGGAATTTTCGACTGCCGCGGAATGCACACATTAAAATGAGTATGTCGGGCGATATGTTCTCCCTAATCGCATTCAATTACTCTGAGGTTGATATGACACGAAAGGTGTAGCGCACCTTGCATGACACAGAAATACACCTGGGGATAAATTAAGTACATAAAATATATATGAACTAAGTGAACTTCCAGCATGCCTGTGGATGCTTTGGGTATTCCGAATTTTCTTTTAAAGTTCCCGCATCGGGCCACTCTCAAAGATCGCTTTGCGCTTCCTTTTCTGTCGGCATATTCACATTCTCCGCGTCCGTAGTTCAGCCACACTATCCATATAAGTTCCCATAACCATTCCCCAAATAACACCAATATATTTATCCGTTTTGAATATATTGCTCTCCAGAGGATATCGTTGAACGACTAAGCCCTGTTAATTCATATTTCCTCATCAGTTCTTATATGTTAGATATAGAATTATTTATGTGTGTACTCAAGCAGAGTGTCTGGCAAGGCCCATATAGTACAGTATGCCAGTAGTCAGATGTCATCAAGTAAATCACAGACAATTTTATCTGGAATTGTTATATTGGTGTTCTGCTCGTAGGAATTAAGTTGGCCGATTTTATTACCATTTCTCCCCTAAAGGTGTAGCTCACCCGCCACGGCACTGAAATCACCCTGGCTCGAAAAATAACAGGCCGATCCGAACCAACTTAATATTAACTAAATAAACGTCTAATCAGCTTTCAGATGCCTTAGGCGTTTTAGGTTTTGTTTTGACAGGTACATTGGCGGATAGGCGGAAATGTCACATTCCTCTAATTCCTTGCGCTGTCAACATACTCAGACTCTGAGTTCGTAGTTCAGCCATACCAGGCAGATATTTTCCGAATCCTTTTTTCCCTAAATAACTTATTCATTCACGATGACTAATCAATCAGATTTTATTAATTACGGAAAAAGTCTATACAATAATTTAAATATTATGTATTCAAATTTTTTGAAACACTTTTGTGAATTGCATCATTCATTCTATGTTAGGATAAAATAAACGTAAAATGACATATTAAAAACAATGACAATAAAGCGTATGCATATATGACGAACGGGAATATGGTTTTCTTAAAAACAGGAGCAGGGTAAAAACGAAATGCGTGTATTGTTTCAAAAGAAAATAAAGATGGTCTTAATGAAGATGACTACACACCCACACATACAGGGTTCTCTTCATTTTCATACATAAAAAATTGTTCATTTGATTGTTAAAAAATTAAATCCTAGAAAATAGAAAAAGGACCAAGTAGGATGTTCGCAATGCAAGGGAGAGAAAAAATATATTATCATAAGTAAATGAATAGGAGATTAAAAGACAAGGAAGTAAAACAACATTACCAGGATCAATAATAATAATAGTCTCCGACATTTGAGCATTACATGATTACATAACACGGAGTACAAATTCATAGGTTACCTACTACTTTTAACAATATACAAGGAATTAAAATTAAAACAATAATTACATAAATAAAAAAAATAAAAGTGTATGTACATTATTGACAAAGGAATGATTCAAAGTTCGATATTACTCTTCAAGTATTGGATAAAAAGCGAGGTAAGTAAAATGTTGTCACAGATTTAAAAAAAAGAGCAAAGAAAAAATCACTTCTATTCCAACTGGTTCATGGACCAATAGAATAAAAAGAAAACAAAAAGAAAAGAAGAGAAAACCAATCTTTTGATTAAATATGCGAAATATTTATTATTCATCAAACACAAGGAAAATGTTCTACAAAGTGTATATATGATTCATCTAGAAATAAGTCAAGATGATCAATTTTAGAAGAGATTGAATGAATTAGTTCTATAGAGACTTTTTCCTCATCAAAATCACTACTTATTAAACTAATACAATTTGAATGGTGATCAGTATCATTTGAATATACTGAAAGAGTCTTTTTCACTTCAAACATTTCATTGTTGCTCACGGTGTTAGTGGTGGTTATCATGGATAAGACTTCATCAGACTTCTCATTTATAGCTACATCCTCATGTTTTTCAGGTAAATGCGTAGCTTCTTCAATAGGAATAGTAGCAGCAGTAGTAGAAGGAGGAGGAGTGGCAGCTATTGACGCTGTTGTTGTAACGATAGTAGTGGTTGTTGTGGTAGTAGTAGACGCAACAGAAGAATGTAAAGATACTTGTGGACTAAATTGTGGTGATTCTAATTTTATACGTTTTACTGGCATAGAAATTTCATCATGTAGTGGAGTTGTTGTCTCTTCATTAGTTTCCTCAATGTTTCTTTTTATTATTGTGTCATTTTCAACTTTTAATTCAGAATTCGTTAACTGAGTACCAGGCGTACATTTTTCTTCCTGATTTGAATATGAACTAGGTAAGATACAGTTTTCTGTGCAGTCAATCTGTTGCTCGCATTTTGAATAGATAATATCTTCACTTTTTGGAGAAGTTGGATTTTCATTTAACGGTGTATCAGAGGATTTTGTTATTGATGATATTGTAGTTAGTGTGAATTCCTCTGAGTTGACTGCTAAACTCGAAGTAGTTGTCGGTAGACTGCATTCTGTATCAGATGTTGTTGTCAGAACAGAACGAACAGCAGCAGAAACAACAGCCGATGACATTTGTGGACTTCTTTCACCTGAACTAATAGCAGTTGAAGGAATTGTTTGATCTTCTGTTAGTAAAAAATCAAGACCCATATTCAATGAAGAAGTAGGACACCTTCTAGATGAATTAGTACTCACTGAATTGTTAGAAGTTTCCAAGCTGGCATTTGAAGGACTACAATATTCACTAGTACTAACACCAATTCCACTTGTAGAAGATGACACTTCATCTGTAGAAATATGATTTGAAGAAGGCCTTTTCACAGGATTATTATCATTCCCAATATCTATGCTTTGTTCAACAGTTACACCTGAACTCACGCAAGTAGAAAGAAATGATTTTGTCATTGTAGTTGTACAAGTGGTTGAATTCGGTAAATTTGATGCAGATGAAACGCTATCCACAACGCACATATTTACACCTGGAATAGCAGCTATTGAAAAACAACTCGATGATGTACGTGTAGATAATGATGGCGAAGATGGCAATGATGTCGAAGCACTCATTTTATCCGGTGAAGACTGTGTTCCGACCCATGAAACTAAAAACAGAATCGACAAAAAGCGACCACAAAAAAAAGATATCATCTGCATAAAAAATTTATGTGAATTTAAAACGGTAAAGAGAAATTTAATCAATCAAACGATCCACCTCTATCTTGTCACTGTCAACCGTAGGCCAAGAGCCACATCTACTGTACGAAGGAAACTGACGTAGACAATGGTGACAAGTCATTCACCCAATTTCTCTTTATTATCTTTCACAATTAAGAAAAAAAACTTCACTAACTTGCATTTACTTATTCTCGATTCCCCACATATTTGTCTACTATAGATAGTTTCATTAAATTTCCTTCTATTTCTTAGCTACGTATTTTACAAACTGTTTCGACGTAAAGTATTAGTGTGCGAAATTTGTAAGTCGGTGAAACTACCTGGCTGACAAAACCTCAGTAGATTGAATAGAATTCTAACCTTTTGCTTCCTGGCATGACAGTCAAATACCGACAACATTACAAATGAGTTTAAAATCAAATGAAATAAAGTAATACGCAGAATAACGTTAAACTGGTTTACATTACAAATGGTACACACGAGGGGCTAGCATTTCATTTCTACTCGCGGCATTCTTTAAAGCAAGGAGTTTTCCAGCTTCATTTGGAAATGAACATAAGGTGCAATACATACATAACTATTCTCGACACAGTAAATTCCTAGGTATAGCTAATAAATATAAAACAGAGAAGTCAAAAAGAAAAGAAACCTAAGCTAGTCGTTTTACTAGAACTAAAAGTGAAACTATTCACAAAAATCAGTGGCTCTATACATGAAGCAGTGTACCACGAATATGCAATGTTAGTAAAATAACAATAACAATAATAATAATAATAAAAACCTACAATTCAGATGTCTAAAAACTAGATATCGGAGAAAATACATACACTGTACGTGAACTGTTAAAGTATATTCATGGAGAGAGAGAGAGAAGAGAAACAAAAAGTAGTTTATAAAAATCTCACAGCTAAATAAAGAGTTGAATAGTATAGTTAACGTGTCTTATAATAAAGATTTAATAAGCCAAATTTCAAATAGGTCGAAATTATTATTAACATCATTATTAAGGATCACACAGTCTGACCACTACTACTGATACATTATGCAAGAAAGATTATCGCACTCAAAATGAGATACATGAGAAATTGACTGATTTGCAGTTACATAAGCAAAAAAAATCATCGAAAATCAAGAAATATCTGACAGTCGCTTAGTTATAAATTGGGAAGAACGCGTGATGGTTCGATGACAAGGTCATCAGCTTTCCAGATAAGAAAAATTATCATGGGATAATTCAGTCAAGATGGGAAAACCCATTAGGTGGAACATAAACACCCCAGTGAAAGTAAATAACCATACCTAACAACAGTAACACAGAACGGAAGATAATCATCAATGAGTGTATAACGCAGTCTTGGGAAAAGTGCAGGTCAGGGTAATGGAGATTAGTGGAATAGAGCCAATAATAAACACAAATGGCAACTTCATAAAGCAAATAAAAATCAGTTCTTAAAGCATGACATCATAGAAGAAAATATGAACGGACATTAATCCTAAAATTCAATTGTCAATGTAGCTGAGAGTGAGAGCTTCGGGAAACACCTTTGAAAAGTTAAACGTGCAACTTGACTTTGTTTGCAGCACTGATAGATGTAAGCTTTAAAGGCATAAATACATAAACTACATTAGTAGTATTTTAAACCAATATAAAGATCAGCAGAATCAACCAGTTTATTGTCCGGTTGTCTGATTCAGGCTGTCTAAAATTTACTGAACATTTTAATCAATACAGACTATATATTAAAATGCTGTAAGTTGGCACCCTTTGTATGTAAGGTTCCTGTTTGTCTGTCTATTTTCAACATAGGACTTTGCACATACGCGCGTCAGTTGAAGTCGCCACACTCCCTCCATGTAGCACACAAATCGAGAGAAGGAAGTAGAAGAAATGCTAAATAGAGACAGTAAACAGAGGTGTGAGACAAAGAAATAGTAATGACGAAGAACAATATAGTTTCATTGGAAATCATAAGTCACAAGGAGCGGATGCATCTGCGCCAGCCATTGAGAACGATTTTGAGCCGGCCATATCACCAACTGTTTTCAACCATTGGTTTTTACCGTCCCGAGGACCCCGACCAGTTAGGAAGTCTACACCTTCCTACGTGGCTAGTTTAAACTAACTGTTGTGGATTTCATTGACTGGTGCCATGTTTTGGTTTGACCACCGCTAGCTCTTTTCCAGCCTGACCTTATAACAGCTAACATTGCCCGTCAGTGGAGGAAGGCGATGACTAGGAATACGTAACACATGTCCTAACCATCTCTCACAGTAGATGTAATTTCACAGCCTCGTCGATTGATTTCCCCAGTTTACCTAGAACTCGACCGACGCCTAACCCCAATATTGCTCACCTTATTATGCCACTTCACACGGGAGATAGAACGCAGGCACCTATGATCGAAGACAGCTAGCCAACACTTTCATGTCTTCCACTCTCAATGGCTAGGTCTCACAGCCATAAAGGAGGATGGAGCGGACTGATGAGCAGTACACCCGCCCTTTGGTCGGTAGCCAGCCGAGACGGCGTAAACTGGAATATGTGAAACTAGCCCTTTGTATCCGTGGTTCCTATCTATAAAATATTAATATTACAAGTGCGAAAGCGGTGGAACATTCTCATACAACCACCAGTGTGATTTTAAAAAGAGTCGTTCCCTAAGAAAGTTTCTTATTCCTGCGGTTTTCAATACACTTGTTAATAAAAAAAATTCCAATTGGAATGTATGGAAATCTGTTTCTATTTACCAACTGAAATCGATGGAAAATGAACAGTGTGTGTATATGTGTGGTAAATATTGTTTTGATAGCTAATCACACTGAGACATTAGAATTACAACCTAGGAGTCGATGACAATATTGACTAAACGAATACGAATTTAAAAAAAAGAAAATTTTAGTTGAATTGAAGAAGAGTTTTTACTAAAAGATAGACTAGTAACAAGCTATCTTTCAGGAAGTGAGAATAATTCTATTAAAAGGAAATCGACTGAATTCATTTTGATTATAGAATTTTCGCAAATTATCATGCTAAGTATTTCTGAACCGAAATAACCCTCTTTTTTTCTACTACTAGCTGAAGGAATATGGTTTAAATTATCGAGAAACACTGTAAGGCTTTAAGGTAAAAAGAAAAAACGTTTTTAGATTCCACTATAACTTCTCATAATTTTATACAGTTATTTCACCTTAAATATTTTCAATGAGGGAAATTAATGCAAGAGATTCGAACAAAACATACCAGGTTGTGAAGCAGGTCGAGAGGCTGCTGATGAGTAGGCAGAATCAATAAGTTCGCCAGGACCATAACTGACAGTAGAGCTAGTATTTTCTAAGTTTGTTTGATTACTAGGTGAACAAGACTCAGAAATCCACTGAGGAGAATTAGTGATATCTTGTGAAAGAGATGTAACAACTTTAGCTGTTTGATTCGTTGACTGTGATTTACCATGACTTATTGATGTAACTTTTGGCTGTTGTTGTTGTTGAGGCGATATTCTTTGAACGGGAGATCGATTCCAATCTGGTGCCGATGTATGACAAATGGTAGACGTCTGTCGTACTCCACCATTCCCTTGACTTTGTTGTCCACGTTGTGAAGCTTTGGTACATAGCTGACTAAACGCTTGTGTTACAGTCTCTGTCAATGGTCCAATCAAAGGTTGCCATTGATCAGCATCAAAAGGCAGATCTAAAGACAATGGAGGCACTAATCGCCAATAACCATCTGACCGAACAAGAATACTTTCAGTTGATTGAGGCACTAATTGTAAAGCATACAGTATTGTCGTGTCAATGCACAATCCATCTAAGCCTGCAGGACTTTTATGCCTAAAAGTAAACCGGATACAAAAAGGTTAACTTTAAAATCAGTATAACAGTTATGATCAGATTTAAGGGCTAAAAATAAAGAAATTAAATAAATATAATTATACTATCGCCTTGTTCTTTGTATTCTGAACATGGTTTTCTAATAGTAACTATTGATTTTAAGTAAGTTCGTGTCTTGATTTTCTTATGACCTAGGAGTGGTGAATATATATATATATATATATATATATATATATATATATATATATATAGGCGTTGCCAGGATACTGATTTCATTTTCACTGTTTCTTCTTTTTTACAAGAAAATGAAATAGACGATAAGCAGAAATACGCCCTCTTTAAATTCTAAGGTAGACACAAGTGAGAACGAAAAGAAACGATCAGCTTTCACCAGATCTCCACTCATTAACCTTACATAAAATACATCATCACCTTTCTTAGCCTCTCTTTTTCATTTATTCGCTTATTTGCATATACTAATTTTTAAAAGGTATATAGGTGAATAGTCTAGCAATAGATTTCACCAATCAACTACATTTCAGCTATACAGTGTCCAAATTCTAAATCATGAAAAATAAAATCTCATGGAACAGATAGGATGCATGGATGTGTAGATATGTAGCTGTTAAGTAAGTTTCTACGTGCAAAGGACACAGGAAAGTTGAAAAACAAATCCAGAAGCAACAGTAACAACAACACACATGTACAGTACGCATAACTAAGTGCAAAATTCGCTTCCTACAAATTTTAGGCGTTAAATTATAATAAATAAACAGAAATAAGCAAACAAACATGCGAACAACAACAAAACAACAACAAACAAATGAGAAATGAAACAAAAGAAAAGACAGAAGAAAAACAAACAAATGATCTAGAAAATGAAAACTATCCGAATTACTGACATTCTAATCGATTTTACGACCTGTATACACTAATTTATAATTGGGTAAAAATTAGTCCAGTAATCAGATCTTGAGTAGAATCCTAAATAGAGTATGCGTTTAATACTAAGTTGACTATACAGAGGTAGAGGTATTAAACAAATGAATACACCAGTTTAATCAAAAGAGTATACACAGATAATAAATTAAAGACCAAAAAAGAACACAAGTGATTTTAAGTGAGAGCATGTGATGGTGACAAGACTAGCATAAAAATATGCGTCTTAAATTAACTATGTATAACCGACTGATAGCTGCTACTTTACTATCAGTGTATTTCAACGAACCAAACAATTTTATTGGTTGGAGGGAATATTCCTACGGGTAAACTAAAAGCGGTTAGAGTCATTACATTTCTCTCCGATGGATGAAGTGTTTAGAAATGTCAGTTCAACTAGTCCGTATTTAACTGTTAGGTTAGAATGACAATCGATAAGTTGTAAATATCTGTAAGACAGGAGGATGACGTCAGTGTTAAGCATATGTCCTCTGCTTTTTCCAGTAACACAGAAATAATCCTTCACTTTCAAAGTACTCCGATAAGGAATTACAGAGAAATATCACCAACCAAGATGTATCCCATCAGCGCACAAAACTAATTTGCTCCTTATTCATTACTTTCATCTTTATCTAATCCTTGATTGTCATCATTATCTTTTTTCATCATTTGTACTACTTGGCTTTGTGACCATTAGTAACAAATATGGCGAACAGAACACCATTTCTAATCTTTTAAGATCATACTACCACTTTCGTACTAGAGCTTTCCACCACTAAATAATGTTCCAAATATGGAAACTAGGACTGTGGATGTGTATTCTGTTTGAGACATGGATACAAGATCGAAACGTTATTATCTGGTCAGTGCCACCTAAATAGCTGAGTGCAAAACCTCACTCTAAGAACGACAGAAGAGTTCCGCCAGTAGCTGTCAGGTTCACTGAGACAAGCAAAACACTTAAATTTCATCATATTCGTGGAAATTAGGGGAGGGGAGCTCAAATAATCCATAAAACGTATTGTGAGAACCTGACAACCCATAACAGTGATTCTTCATATGCTCGGATAATCTCTAGTCGGCACTAACTTCAAATATAACGAATGACATTATCTTATGTAATAGTCATTAACTTCTAGCTAACAATGTATACAGATAAACCATTTTTATAAGTGATAGGTGAAAATCAAACAGTTTACTGAACAGTTATTTAAGCCACATAGAGCTGTCCTACCTATCCACTCTGCTGAAGGAGAAACGATAAAGACGGTTGATAAACTGCAATCGAAGAATAACGTGGTTGCAACCCACTGACCTTAGTATACAGTTTTTGATTGGTATGTACTAGGGTTGTACTCCGTTTTATCTACTTCAATCTGAGCAACTAGGTAGTATAATCAGTCCTCACGGAGCAAGTGTGGCCTGATACATGAAAAATCTGTGTATGGTATGTGAGTTGTGTTGTTCACCATTCCTACTCTGCTGACAAACTGTGGTAGTCTCGTTTCAGCCGAGTGACAAGACTGAATTCTGTGAGCTGCAAAAATGACAAGGAATAATAACTACTTGCATCCTAAGTACAAGTCACCCTAGGAAGCTCGGACAATGCCGTCTGAATACCAAAAGTAGAAAAAGCATCAGTAGTGGGCGAAACTTGTCGACTAATTAGGCTTAATTAAAAGAGATGCAACTTAGAGGACGAAAAATTCAGTGAAACAGTTTCACAGAAATATGTAATTCGAATAACACTGTTGGGCAGATGACGACAATGTTGCACAGAATACTTTGAGTAGGTTCAACTAGCTTACAACTGCACTAGACTTATCAACCATCCAATATGTGAATATGTTGTCTTTTATGTACGTTTAGGTTACCGTCAACTTATATTTTTGTAGATTTCAATCAAATTTTGAAAAAGACAGGAAAATAGTTTTGTCAAACTTCCTTATATACTATATTAAAGCTGCCTAACAGAAAGAGAAGATTGAATAAGTCTGCCAACGGCTGTATATTCTTTCTAGGTTGAAGGTATTTCCTCAATGTCATAACTCATTTTGTGCATACACTAGTACTTATCGTTATACGTATCAACCTGCTTTGTCAACTTTCCAAGGAATGTAGACAAGCCATCTTTCTCGTATAAAATATGTAGCCAACAGTCAGTGGCATTGTAAAATCGTATATAACTCCAGTCATTTAGCTTCACAATTACACATATACACACTGTAATCAGATAGCAACAAGAAGAATTGAAACTTTCCAGAGACATTAAAAGTTCTACCCTAACCTATCACAATACAAACTGAACTGTCTAAAATGTTTTCCTTCTTAAGAAATTTTCAAAAGACAGAAGTAATAGCATCTACACACTGATAACACTTTTTATTTAAAAGTTACCACTTCCCAATTTTCCACAAATTCTAGATTTAAGATGTCTTTCTTATTACTTTGAAAGTTTGATGCATCACGTATGTGAGTAAATATCAAAGACCTTCAACATAATAAATACTTAGCACATGACGTTTTCGCATAGGTTAAAACAGTAGCAACAGGTAAGACGTCATTATTTACTATTTTGCGCGAAGTAGTAAAAGTAGTGCATGAATGGATTTCAAATCTTAAATATCAAAAAAGGTCAATTTTCAAGTGCAGAGGTCATCTTCGAAGACTAATAACACAAAACTAAAACTTACCCACAAATTGGACAATTAAGCCTGGGCCAAAGGACTTCTCGGCGAAGAAAAGCTTCCATATCGAACGCTTCTATATGTTGGCAACCTGCAATACGACCAGGTATACGCATTCTTGTACGAAATACTGGACATATTAAATTTAATTCAGCAATAACAGGGGATTGAGAAGGACCAGAAGGCATATTCTGAGTTGAACAACCATCTTCATTCAGACTACGTGTACCAATACGACCTTCAAGAATGTCACAGAGTGTGTTAACACCGGCAGGTCTGCGTCGTTGTAGCCCGTCAAGAAGAACATTAAGAGCTGGCATATGAGCCATAAATGCGGCAAACCGATGAGCCTGTTAACAAACAAATTATTCTTACGATTTAACTTACATTACGATGATTTCATAAAACATGTTATACAGTTGCAAAACTGATATGAAATACAATACGAAGATTCCAAAAGTTTTTTAGGTGAAATAGAAAACGTAAAGACAAAACTGATATTAAGAATGTAAAAAAGCCTGTTTAACTTCTGTGCTTCTAAATGGGACAAGTAAATTTTTAGTGTCATGAAAAAAAGATAATAATTATCACTACATTCCAATAGTTTATTCATCTTAATGAATTGTCAACATAAAATGTATAGTGCTGAAAATTAATAAAAGCTTAAGATGAAGTGGATGATGGAGTACACTTACGTCTTAGCAGAAACTAAAGGTGAATAGTCATCATTTGAAAATAAAGATAATAATGAAAACCAAAATTAACCAGAGAATGATAACTATCGATTGTTTATTGAACACTAAAACGTCTCTTAATTGTATTACCCCTAGAATAGCACATGTATATCATACGGTAAGTACGGTCAGATGATTTGAACTGATAGAAAAACAGACAACTGTGAGGCAATGTTGTTATTACACAAAAATTCATGCTTTCATCCATCCCATCTTTAGTTGTATTTACCACATTAGATAACCAAGCATAAAACATTGGCAGTGATAACATCCACTATTGTCTACAAATTACAAACTCAATAGTAATTATGAAATATATTCAGTAGGATGGAGCATCGGCATCTGTGGCGTGGAGGTAGAATGTGCGCCAAGCATGCATGTGGTCCAGGGTTCAATTCCCGCCCGATGCACTCCCAAACTTCGCTTAGCCTGAAGTTTGGGCGTGCGACTAGCAACCATCCCCCACCCCCGTAAAAAAAAAATATATATATATAATTCTCATAGGTGCTAGCATCGTGCAATCCCAGTGTCGCATCCTTAATTTTAATTATTATTTTATTCCTTTGCGTTCCCAGTGGAACATAGGGCTTCAACTCAAAGCTATGAAGTTTCGCTAGAAATGGATTTATTTTTACGGAGGTGGGGGATGGTTGCTAGTCGCACGCCCAAACTTCAGACTAAGCGAAGTTTGGGAGTGCATCGGGCGGGAATTGAACCCTGGACCACATGCATGCTTGGCGCACATTCTACCTCCACGCCATATATATATATATATATATATATATATATCAATTACATTAATGTACTTCTGAAAAGCCTTGAACCATAAACACATGTTTAGCACAGACTGAAATAGATTTCCTTTTATTTTGATTATAGCTTGATTCCACACCGTATTTTTGATACAAGTATGAAATTTTCAGCATGTGCTATCGGTAGCCCAAATTTTGCAGACCGACGATAGATAACAGGTGCGCGTCGGCAGGGGATCGAACCCCGGACCATGTGCATAGTCGGCGAGTGAACCAGTGACAAAAAAATTTCACATCATTAAGCCACGCATCACAGAATTGGACAGGTACATATTTGTGAGCATATATTTCTGAATAAAGTTTGTTTATTCTGAGGACCTAATTACCTGCTAGGATAGTAAACAAATAATTCAACACATTCTGAGCCTAAAATGCCTAAATTTCTCCATATTTTAACATGTAAGATATATGAGATTTGATGGAAAGAACTACTAAACTATTGTGTAACCACTGAAAATGTAAGCCAAGGTAATTTGTGCAACAGCCTTAACAAACAATTCATATAAGTGAATTAAACACGTATTTCTGAAAATAATAATTAGCTAATTATCGATAATGAGAAGTAATTCGGGGCTGATGTCTAGTCAGACTGCGTCTATGTGCAATCATAATGAGTGGTAAATCAAGATAAAGGTGCTATTCTATTATTATTATTAGCTTCTAGTGATCTCAGTTGATGATGACTTGAAAGATCAATTATCTTTCGATAAACTATTTTCCACAATAATGTCTGCACATCAAAACAGATATGCTATCTGAATTATTAGGATGTACTAGAAGTCATTTCTATGGGGTATGCATGTGTTCATATTATGCAGACACATCCTTGTTCATTCAATCATGCAGACAAATCTACTGTTACGACATAGAAAAGCATGGAGAATTTTCCATTCTTTTAAGTGGTATAATAAGGTGAGCAATATTGAGGTTAGGCCTCGGCCGAGTGCTAGGTAAACTGGGGAAATCAATCGACGAGGCTGTGAAATTGCATCTACTGTGAGAGATGGTTAGGACATGTGTTACGTATTCCTAGTCATCGCCTTCCTCCACTGACGGGCAATGTTAGCTGTTATAAGGTCAGGCTGGAAAAGAGCTAGCGGTGGTCAAACCAAAACATGGCACCAGTCAATGAAATCCACAACAGTTAGTTTAAACTAGCCACGTAGGAAGGTGTAGACTTCCTAACTGGTCGGGGTCCTCGGGACGGTAAAAACCAATGGTTGAAAACAGTTGGTGATATGGCCGGCTCAAAATCGTTCTCAATGGCTGGCGCAGATGCATCCGCTCCTTGTGACTTATGATTTCCAATGAAACTATATTGTTCTTCGTCATTACTATTTCTTTGTCTCACACCTCTGTTTACTGTCTCTATTTAGCATTTCTTCTACTTCCTTCTCTCGATTTGTGTGCTACATGGAGGGAGTGTGGCGACTTCAACTGACGCGCGTATGTGCAAAGTTCTATGTCGAAAACAGACAAACAGACCATGCTTTTAAGCAGTTATCTTCTTTTACCGATGACCACAAATAACTGTCAGTCAAATTCACAATCTGCAATTAGTTATATTCTCTGAGCTCACTAATTCACTAATGTCCAGTCTTTTAAAATAATCTATCAATTGTCATGGTAACTCTATAACTACGAAAGGAAGCTGTTACTGATTCTAGATAAACACGAAAATAACCCTGAAGAAATGAAAGAGAAGAGGTGTTTCCCGCACACACACTTCTACATAGGCATAAATGTTATGATACGGCGATCAAAAGAATATAAGCCACACAATGCCCTAAACAAGAATATTATATATGATGAGAGTGGATTATTTATTTCTAAAAGAGTTAACACAACCAATAGTAAACTGTTTCACAGCTTCATATTTAGCAGAAATATACTTATTATATAATTTCATTTTATGCCTGTGTTTACACCTACATGTAATCAATATATATATATATATATATATATATATATATATATATATAATAGAATGACATACAGGCTCGTGACTTTGTACTCTTCTATATGGTTCACTTGTTTAAGTTTTGTTGTTTGTTGTTTCTACTTACAAGTCGATAGAAATGAATAAGTTCAGTATGGAAATATTAGTAACGATAACAATATTATTACCATTCTTATTAATTATATATATATATATATCCTACTCTTTACAATGCGTAGTGCTTGAAAGAGAAGTTTAATCCATTTTCTGACTTTTTTTAAAGAAAATTTTACCAGCCACTGACTGTAGTGGAATAGTGAGGTTTATGCATGTAGATGTATGTGTACTTGCATACGGATAATACGCCTTAGTGTTAACTATCTTTGAAAACAAATATCAGTCATTATTAAAGGGACCACTTAAAAATAAAAAAGTGAATGTTACACTACGAAAAAAACTTTGTATAACAGACATAACCGATACACAGTATATATATATATATATATATATATATATATATATATAAACATTTCAGACCGGTTATTTCATAAATCAATATTACGATCTCAATAATCAAACAACTTTTTATAAAATTTATCACGCAATACCTGATTAAGGAGTGTGCAACAAGTAAAGAAAGAAAAAAAAACAAGAATAATACGAGAAATTGCAAGCCATCAACCTTACTGATGGTGGTAAGAGAAAATCCCCCTCCTTTAATTTTATTAGCATCCTTCGATGAACAGATATTAGATGAAAAATTGACGATGCAATTAATAATGTTCTCTGAGTTGGTCGGTTTGGTTGCGCAGCTTTCGTCGTCCTTCTGGACAACATCCCCCTTCAGAGCAATATTTAGCATAAAGTGAAATGATTTAAATTTCTTAATGAGTGATATAATTGCATCTCCCGGTAACCATCTTTACATATGTATTGACTATTTTCTATTGACTTAGATTTTAAACTTTCTGGTCACACGATTTACTTTTTATTAGTTGATATATTTGGTCTATATTAACTTGTTTGTTAATAACATATTCGTTTGAGTACAAGGCTTCTAGGAATTCCCTGGCACTTTCAGTGTTGCCTCTGTCTAACATTTCGACATTATCCAAATCAAATTGATGTCCATAGTTGTCTATGTGTATTGATATGAAAGAATATATATCGTGTCTCTTCACAGCTGATTTGTGTTTTTGGATTCTGATTCGAAGGGGCGCCAACTTTGGCCGATGTAATGCCTGTTACAGTTCATACAATTTATTTTGTAAATGATATTAATTTTATCTCCTTTTTCTATTGGGTCTTTCAGTTTGCATAATATCGAATTAAGCAACTTGACTGGCTTGTATGCTATATCTATATCAAACTGTTTCAGTATTCTAGCTGTTATTTCAGAGATATTTCTCATGTATGGTAAGATGAATTTTCTTGTGGGCTTTGATGATGGTTCCTTGTTGGTGTTGTGATCCGATTTAAACACTTTTTGATGAAATTTTGTGGATAACCATTCTTTTTGAAGGTCGTTTGTAGGTATTTTTTCTTCCATTCTTTTCAGCTCTGGAGTGCTACAGTGTGTTTGAACTCTTTTAAACAATGTCTGCACACAGTTTCGTTTGTGAGTAATTGGATTATTGCTAGTATAGTTGAGTATTTGATCAGTGTGCGTTGATTTTCTACATACTGAAGATGTTGTCCAGAAGAACAACGAAAGCTCCGCAACCAAACCAACCAGCTCAGAGAACACTATTAATTGCAAATCATCCACCTGAGCTACAAATCTTCTCTATTATTTCAAAGACTAAGTGATACTTTAAGGAAGTGATAATAAAAGTTGGTAGGGAAACATATGCATTATGGAAGCTGAATTAACACAACACCTACACTTTCCATAATGTTTCACAGTTTCCTTTCAGAAGAATCGTTAAAACTCTAATTAAAATATTTTATACTTAAGAGATCATTATACTGGATGAGTGTTGCTTGAGTAATGGGAATCTGAACGCTGGCAGGATTTAAACCACCCGACTGACTAGTGTGAGTCATTACTGACTAAATTAAAAAATACAGACAGTCGAAAGGGTAGGTATAATAAAGCTGTAATATTAGACTAGCTTAAAGTTGTGAAGTTTTGGTCAATATTAAAACGACATTGTACATAGGATGAAACAGTCAAAGCTAATTAACTTACTTCCAGTGTTTGAGCGGTGGCACGACGTTTAGCCATTGTAGATGGCTGATTAGGATCTTCTCCAAGTCCTAGTATAGCTATTTCAAGTTGATTGCGACCTGGCCGACAGAGTTGTTTGACACAGGCTACTTTATGCGCAGGTTGACCGCCATTGACAGAACTACGATCTAAGCGTAAGAGGTAATCATTGAAACGAATTTGCACAGCATCAGGTGGCCAATGGCATACCTGTAAGGGTTCAGATAAAAGATGACTACACACAACAATATCCAAATCAGTTCGTCCAACAATTGTATTCAAATGATTAGCGGTTAAATCAAATTCAAACCGACGTAAATAGATCCCTTCAGGAAGATACTGATGCATTATATCATTCAGCTGTATCTGAGTAGGACCCCATACCATACCATTAGTAATTGGACACACCAAACGATCAGCATCTATTTGAAACAATTATGAAAAACATACCATAAGAAAGTATTCTGACTTTAAAGTTCAACAGAATGAAAAACTAGTACAAAGTACGACATATAGTTTGAACAATATTAAATTAATGAGAAATGCATGGATTGTTGATTCTTTGAATCAGTCAAAAGACATTTAATAATTAACAATTAGCATGATATCAAGCACCTTTACTCACCTTGGGTATTCTCTTCTCTCTGATTTTGATTTTGGGAATCTACGCTTTAACTTAGAGATTCTAGAACCATTCTTTCATATATTTTTTTATTTTTTAAATTTTTTTTTATATTTTTGATTACAACTTGATTCCACAGCGTATTTTTGGTACAAGTATGGAATTTTCAGCGTGGATATCGGTAGCCCAAATTTCGCAGGCCGACGATAGATAACAGGTGCGCGTCGGCAGGGGATCGAACCCCGAACCATGTGCATGGTCGGCGAGAGTCCTAACCACTGTGCCACCGACGCACATGAAGTCACTTACTGAGCTATGAACACAGAGGCGCATACTACGTGGATAGTGTGCCTAAGAATTAAGCCTATGCACAGTGGATAATCAGTGTCTCCGGCTATTTTCTGTCAATCGGAAAAGCTCTTATTATATACAAGAAAAGCCCTGAAACATGTATACAGAAGAGGTTAGTGCAATCCTTTTTACTACCGTTGTCCTAAACGTTTCTAATTTTAGCTCGTGTGATAACTTAGTATCTAATCCATATTTACTCACTCTTTATTTTCGTCAAATTTCTTCCTTTCAAACTGCTAATTTTAAATTGCACTTTATAAATACTCTCACTTGAACAATGTTCTTGCCCCTATTATTTTACTTATTTTTATTAGTAACTATTTCTAAAAGATGCTCATCACTTATTGTTTTTAGATTGCGTAATTTATCATTTTCCTTGATACGTACATTCCTATGTTCCGTTGCCAAATGATATGACTTATTGACCATATAGGAGGCAATCACCTGACGGTTTACAATGCTTTGTAAGTGTACACCTTTGAAGTAACGAAAAGAATGTTATTTACTGACCTTTGTCTTTTTGATTTACGTCACACACTGGTGTTTTTCAATTGTTACCTACTCTAAACTTCTGCACATTAATTAGCTCTATACTTGTCCTTTTGTCTTCCTTCACACTAACAGCTTATTTTATAATATGCAATATAATAGTCACAAAGGGCAAATAAAAAAACCAGTGAACTTCACCAGTCATGTGTCTAAGTATTCTACTGCAAGGGTAAGTTGGTCATACCATGGATTAAGCAATACAGAAACAACCGATTGAGCTTTTCGTCAGTGATTATAATAGCCCGGTGGTAGCTTATGGCATACAAAAGAGCTATAGCTCCAAATCTTTCAGTTAAACATAACTCTGAATGGTTGAGATATACATTGCTAAGTGTAAAGAAAGCTAATGAACCCAGGTCAAGGGTTATCAATGATTTGACTTCGATGATCTAATACCAATCAGAATAAACAGCAACGATGAGTCTGTCCGGCTGGATGACTGTTTTGTGAAAGCAATCTGTAGAATACGGTATCACTTAGGGCTAAAGAAACAACACTATTCATAAGTGTCCGAGGAATGGACTGTAGACCCGATTTATGTGTTTAAAAGAACAAGAGATAATCTCTCAAATAGTTATTACTAACCTAACAGATTTTATAGTTTTATTCGGAATTTCAACCGAAAAGTGATCAATATGTAGTGTCTCATCATATTAACGATGAGAAGGTTACAATTAAGAAATCAAGTAAAAACTTTTTTTAAAGGTGCTAACATATATAATGACGGAAAATAAACTCACAAGTATATGGTCCTGCTACACTGGACGGGTAATTTTGAGTATTAAAATTTGTCGGTGCTGAAACACGACTACAATTTGTTGTCATCGGAGAGGAAATGCTTTGTGGATGTGAATTTGCCTGAACTGATTGGGGTTGGAAATGTACATTTGGTGGAGTACGTTGAGAATTGGACGTCCCATTATTAGGATAACACATTTGATTGGATTGTGTTTGTGATGCATTCATATTGGAAGTATGCTGATTAACTTGGCTGTAAAATGCACCACTACTTTGATTGGCTGTGTAATTGCAATTGCTCACTGTATTGGGGACTGGATACTGTTGTTGCTGTTGTTGTTGTTGTACAGGCACCTGACTAGAACAGTATCCATGACGAGGAGAAACTGGGACACGTACACTGTGATTTGATTGAGAATCCAAACAATTTACAGATTCATATCCCATACCGGTTGCTCCTGTTGAATTAGAATTATTAACAGGAGGACCTGAATTCGGCCGCATACAATTATTGCCTGCTTGTGAAGTAAAAGTGACTGGAGAATCACGACTGTCCCCACCACCAATGAAACTAGAATTTACCATAGGCATTCCAGCAGATTGGTTTGGTGACAACATAGTAGGATTGAAGTTCATATTTCCTGAAGATCCAGTATTCCATGACTGAACTTTCTTTGGTTGTTGACTGACTACCCTTTGATTGGGAGAAAATGGCTCTGATGAAGAGACGGAAGGTATAGTATTAGCTGCCAAACTTTTCTTAGAATTGACCCGACTTCCCCGTCCCACTCCAGATGATGTCTTGATAAATGTGAATCAAATATACATTCATGAAAGCAAAAATTACAAAGACTCAATTAGCAGTAATAAAAATACGAGAAAGAATGATGTAAATAAACTGGAAACAAATGGCACAAATCATTTCCGGGCAGATGTTGATAATTAACAGATATGGATAATTGAAAATTGAATAAGGAGTCAGTTTTGTACCAGCTGAAACAGCTCACCGAAAAGAGGAAGTATCTTAATCGACTGTGTAGTTTCTTAATTAAGCATTTGCCAGTAGCCAGCACTTAAACTCAAGGAAATGTTTTATTTACGTTCTTTTATGGGCAAGACAACCAGTCTAGTGACTGCCAATTTCCCCAAATAAAATTGAGGTGCACTTATCGTAACTTAACGTCTAGAGTAAGGACTACTGTGTTGAAGTTACAACGGCAATACCAATAGTTTGTTGGAACGCAAGCCTGCCACGTAAACGAATCCAGAATATGATGGATAGCGCATGCTGGACTCTGTTGCTAATTTCTATCATATGGAGAGCATATACCATCGTAAAATAATTAATTTGGTCCTGAAAATCTGCAGAGAAAAGAAACATGAGCAATGTTGATGAAAATCACACATATAACTCAACGAAAGACGACGTATGACAACCCTTTCAAAGTATGATGACAATCGTAATTTTTGCAAGAAATTTAAGTATAACCAGTATTATCAATGCCTTGTACATTATGCATGCCTAAAATAACAATCCATTTTAGTTATTACTTGATAATATCTCATCTCACAAAAACTCAATAAACACAAACACAAACAAACATGGTCAAACACACATTTATTTTATTTTTAGTTATTTTGATTATAGCTTGATTCCACACCGTATCTTTGGTACAAGTATGGAATTTTCAGTATGTGATATCGGCAGCCCAAATTTCTCAGGCCGACCATTGATATCAGGTGTGCCACGGCCGGAGATCGAACCACGGACCATTTACATGGTCGGCAACAGTCCTAACCACTATGCCACCGACGCACAAATCTTGAATTATTACGACCATAAATGTTTTCAAACTGATTTAAAATACTAATTGTAAGGATGACTAGTTGAAGGCGTATACTTAGATATATATTTATTACATACAATCGGTCCCCTTTATTAGCTTGAACAATAAATAACGTACGTATTTGTTTAAACTAATAAAAGGCACAAATTGTATGCGAAACCAACATTTAAACTTGTAACCTTCAGGTGGAATAGCGACTACGTATACTAAAAAATTGCAGCTTCAAATCCACCACTTACAAAACCAACTGATATGTTGCCAAAGAGGAAGAAAACAAAACCTATTTTCGTTCACATTAATATTCAGGATACCCACTTTACTGGTTTACAGGTCACTAAAACATAAAACTGAAGTGAAGAGTGTGTCGTTAGAACCACGATGAAAGAGATCACCTCGGTTTCTAATGGTTCTCTACCTAATGTCGGTTAGTAATGATGTCTTCGTCAAAAATGATGCGTTAAACTCAATAAACACAAATGACCCGTAACAGAGAATATGAGCAGAAGTTGAACAGTTAGTTCATACTTGAACTTGGTTATCGAATGCGTAATGTCTACGAAAAAGATTATTTCCAAAGTAATCAACGAACATCATAAACAGCTTACAATAGGAAATACAACAATGCAATGATATATAAGACGTATAGTCTATATACAACTCTGATGATGATCAGAATCCTGAGAATTTTATCTCAAAGATGGGAAGAAAATATGAGATGTAATTTACATTCACCTTCCATCATCAAGAATTAAAGTGCTACACAAAATCCATATGCTTGTACATACACTTGATAATAAAAATAATACGCTCGTGTGCAACTGCTGCACTATCCGCGTGGCTAACCTGCAGTCGGACACCTAAACATAAGACCTACGCAACCAGAACCCAAACACACTTAAGTTACTCCACTCTCGGGTCTCAGCTGTCATGACACTATTCACTAAATAGGTATAACTGGAAATAATAAGTACAAAGAATTTATATTAGGTTTTGCAGAACGAAAGATGTAAGGGAAAAGTGGAATCTAAAATTTTAAAAAAATTAACTGCATTCTAATGAATCTCTTTAAAAGAAGACGAAAGCCCTACGAAAAAGGACCGTCATATTGACTAAACAAAATTACTCAAGTTTCCTGATTAGTGCATGTATGCAAAGTAAAGACATATTCACTGATGTATTGATGCACACGCACTCAGGCCTACGCATTTACAACCACAATTAGTGATTGTAGCACGGACAGATAAATGACCTGAGAAAAAAAAATATCTTGGTCTGATACAAAATGAGAAAGGGAAAAGAGAATAACTTAGCGATTCGGCCTTTTCTAAATTATAGGTGAAATCTAATGTTTATACACATAAACATTACAGATAGCGAATACGCTAACTCCAAAAGAAGTTATCTCCTGCACACAACAACTTAAAATGATAACAATAATAATTTAGTCAATGAAAGACGATACAATGGTAGTGGAATAGGATGACACGCGGACAAATGTATGTACATATATGCATACAAGGTCCTGAAATTCCAGTCCGAAAACTAGTATATTTAATCTCCACCATATAAAACACACGAACAAAATAAAACACGTGGAAATATATCCATAGTGGATGCATGAGGTATATCGATACATAGATGGACGTAAACACCTAATTCATTCAAAATAGAGGAAGGACTTAAGTTTGCGAATAAAAAACTCAAGATATGCAAAATTAGAAAAAATGGTTGATATATATATATATATGTGTGTACAAACATAAATGTGTTTATGCATTCATTCACTCATTTATTCCATTCTTAAAAATGAGAAAAGATTAGGAGAGAAATAATACATCAAGAGGGAAAGTAGAATGAAGTAGTCACATAGTGTTTGGATGCTCAATATTATTATCACCGGCATACTTCTAAATATGATTTACTTGATTCCGTTTAAAAAGATATTTATATGGGTTGAATAAGACGCATCATTCCTATATTACACAGTTCGATGTTGAATCTCTAGATGGTTTTTTTATGTATACCCAATCATCAGTTGTGTGTGCATTGTGTTTAAGGCAAATACATCTGCTGTATGTATTTTTGAGCCTACAAAGTTTTTAGTATTATCAGTGGTATCGACGTCATCTTCAATGATATACTTAACATATACAGTTTTAAGTTCAATCGGCCATAACAAAAACCTAAATCTGTTTACTGACAAACCGAAGTAAGTAGTGACAACATAATTGGAAATCAAGTGAATAAAAAGACACCTCCATTACACTAACAAAAAAGGAATTGTTAGAGTTGGAAACTGAAAGCATCTGTCATGACTGCATAACTTAAATAAAACTTTGAAGACAAATATTTCCATTAATTCTCATAGGTGAATATATACTCCACAAATGAAAAAATGTCGATATCTACACACATGAAAATTGATTGTTCACTGAGCCAACTGACTATCTGTGAACAGTAGCTGGAAATCTTGACAACTAATAAAGTCATATTTACTAAGTATACTTATAAAACCGTATACACGTTAAAGCGTCTTCTATCGGATTTTTTGCAAATGCCTCAATACTGTACAATGTGCTTTAATGGTAGGAGAGCACACGCGACTATCCATTATGAAACTGTACTGAAGACGACGACGATTGGCACAAGCTGATCAAAACTCCAGATCGTAGAATGACTCATTCGCTCACTCACTCACTCACTCACTCTATGAATGCTAATATCCATTACTTCTGCAATACACATCTATATCATATTTCCTAGACAAAAATCATAATCAATAGGCAAAAAGTAAATTAACGGGGTATACTGTAAGGACAAACCTGTTTTGCTGAATAACCTAAGAAAATTAATAATTTGAAGTGAAAGTAAACATCTAGGTTAATTGCAGTTTTAGACTGAAATTATTTACACAAGTCACCTGCTTATATATATATATATATATATATATATATATATATATATATATATATATATATATATATATGCAACAAGATGTGTACGACAAAAAGGTATGCATTCATAGTTTTGATTTTCCAATTCTCTTTTAAAAAAGAATTAATCTATGCATAATTAACCAAAGTATATTATCGTGAGAATATTAACACAGCGAAATTCCATTAATTTAAAATTGCAACGGTTGAAGATGATGGAATTCTTTATTGAGAAAAAAAGACAAATAATAAATCAGCATTACCTTTAAATCCGATAAACCCTTAACTGGCTGTCTAATGAAGATTTGAAAGTACAATACAGTCTCATTAAGTATATTTTTAAAAATAAATAATTTATTTTTCAAGGATTTGTTTGTAGGGATTCGATTTGTTTCCAGTTTGATAACGGATTGATATTAGTTAGAGAAATATTGAAAATCAGCAGGGAGTACTGGAAAGTTGTTTTATTCTAGTTTACGAATCATCACTAGTGAGCACCCAACGGGTTTTCAACCTGATAGAAGTTGGAATTCATGGGCTGACCGTTGAGTCGGGTCCCCGTGGCTGAATGGTTTACGAGCTAGCTTTGTGCTCGGAAATTCCTGGGTTCGAAATCCGGTTTGTGCTGACCGTCGATGAGTCTCAAACTAGGATGAAACAGCTGCCCAGTGCTTTACTGCTGATTTTCAGTGGTTCTACAACTGATATCAATCTGTAATCAAACTTCAAATAATTTAGTGTTCATAAAAACATTAAACGAACACTTGAACACTTGATTACAAGATAACAATACTCAATTGTTTCTTCTGTTTGGCTGCTGGTGCATCCGATGATATTAACTAACTAGATCACATCCTAACTTTCAAACTAGGTGGTGTTCAGGTGATACATTCTATGAATCATGACTTTTTATATTTCACGTATGTGCGGAGGTACACTGAAACGCAAAATGGTCACCATTTTTGTCACTATCTAAAAAAATAACAAAGTTGCTAAGTACGATTAGATTAGCCTATGAGTT